TTTTTGGATCGATTTTTCATCATTTTTATGAGGTAACCCCTTTCCAAATTGTCGAAAAAATGGCTTTGCAGAAAAGTGTCCAAAAACTGTACTTCTAAGCCCATAACTTTTCTTACAGACATCCGACTTCAAAACGGCTTACTTCTAAATAATTGTGGTTGAATTCCCTAAAAATCTGTGTTTTTACTTTAGTTTTTATTTTTGGGTCGATTTTTCGTCATTTTTATCAGGTAACCCATTTCCAAATTTTCGAAAAATGGGTTTTGCAGAAAAGTGTCCAAAACCTAAATCTCTAAGCCCATAATTTTTCTTACATACATCCGATTTCAAAGTGGCTTATGTCTAAATGATTTAATTTTTTTGGATAAAACTTAGCAAAAAGTCTTGTGTCTGTTGAGGTGGTAGTGCTGTCATGTATATTGTTATGTCAAGCTTAAATGTTAATTAAGAGGTCATTTACATTTTGAACGACTAGTTCCTAAAAAGCTGGTCAAAAGTTTGAATAGTTTTTTGTTATTTTAAGTTATAAATAGCTTGGCACAAGATCGAAAAATTTAAATTATTTTACCGGAACAATTTAAGTTGGTCATTTTTGAGCTTGGCAAAATCAAGTTTTTCTTTGAATGTTCATAATTATCAAATTGATTACGTTGACGTCAATATTAACATTTTATTGGTGCTTCTATGAATCCATTTAAATTAAGTTTAAGGTTGGATTTTTTATGCTCATAAAAAAACCTTTTTAAGAGGGTTATAAAACGATTTGACAAAATTATGGCAGTGTTTCAAAAAAATTTTACAGTCACAGTCGATAAATCCATTATTGATCAATATATAGTTTAAACTGTCGATATGTTTTTGTAAGCTAATTTATTTAAAAAAAGATGAAGTTTTGGGTGTAGCCACAAAAACTACGAGTTTTAAAACCAAAAGGCTGCAATTTTAATGTACAACTCCCGGATTTATATGAAATTGGATCAGTAACTCATTTTCCGTTTCCTTTGCTTCAGAGCAGCAGTTCCGCATCTAACAATAGCCAACACAAATGGCCAAGAGGCAGCCAACTTATGCAACTCCAGTCAGCCGTCGACGGCTAGGCAATGGCGGGCAATTAATTTAATTGCAAACGGCATGAGAGCTCGCCACGCCCTGAATTTATTTTAATTAGCCCGATATTCGCTTCATTATATTTACATACATCAACTGCAGCCCCGGCGACCCGGCGAAGCGAAGCGCTGCCCAGAAATAGTTCGGTCTAATAAGTGGCATTTATAATTTTATTGACTGCCAGGCCAACCCAGCAACGACAGCAACAAAAGATAGTGGAGCGATCGATTGATGGCGAGTTCTGAGATTCAGTTTTGAAATCCGCTGCAGCAGAAGCGCCGGCGGCTTTCAAAATTTGGACATATGCCAGCCTCGGTTTTTGGCCATGTCGATACTAAATTTTTCGACATTAGTTGGCAATTTTTTGTGGCCCAAAGCTGTCACGCCGACAGAACGTCAAGGAGAGATCACATCTATGGGAGAAACTATATTTTTATTAAGACATTTTGAATGCTCTATTATAAGATTACTTGGGTGGGATATAGTTTATGTATTCACATTGATCACTTTTATGAATATTTATAATTAGGAGAGTTTAACTGAATAGGAATATTGATAAACTGGTATCAATATTCCTATTCAGTTAAACTTAATAAATAATTTTCCCTGAAAAAATCTCTCACTTTTTTGTAGTTTTAATATAGCTTGAAAATATGATTTCAAAGTGATTAAAAATCCAATATTATATTACTTGGATGGAATATAGACCATGTATTTAAATTAAAATATATTATGAATTCTAAGTTGCCTTTGAAACCTATAAAGTATGATACACAGAATCTCTTTCTTATATAAATATATTTAAATTACAAAAAGAGATGTGAAAGATTTACCAAAATATTGTTATATCTGAGATGTTTGATTCTATTTAAACCAATTGAAAAGCAAATTGTCTTGAAATTTAGAATAGACTTTAAGTATCTTGAGTTAACCCCTTGGAAAGGGTACAAACACCCAAAAGCCACAACACATTTGCCACATTTTGACTTCTCGTCAGAGGGCGATTTTGTTCCGCTGGCCGCGGCAGTGTTTGCTAAACAGGCACACTTTGGGCCGGATCGGATCTGGTCGGAACGGAGTGGAGTGGAGCGAAGCTGGCTGGATTGGCCCCAGACCCTGACATATTCCTCGTTGACGGCGCACGACATGGTCGGAGGACGGAGGACGGATCTCGCCCTGGAGCTGATCCGAGGCGGATCGAGGGCATCATTATGATGTGACTGTGACGGGCGGACAACCTTTCGGGAGGGGCTGGATTTGCAACATTTTCATTTTCGTTTGGTGGCTCGTTTCGCTGCCATGTGGCACATTTATCAGAAAATGCCCACTGACATTTGGCCAGCCACTTGAACTGGGTTAACGGTGCAGCCAGCTCTGTGCTCATTAATTTTATTTGTTGCCAAAAAATAGAAAAAGATTGCTTGGCTTGACCCCGGGGCATCACTACAATCCGGATTTCTCAATACGCAATTTCTTTGGGAGATTTTCAGATTAACCAAATTGAATTGGGCAACGGATCGGATCGGATCGGATCGATCAGAATGTGTAATTAAAGGGCGATCGAGTCGAAGGGCGGTCCGAGCCCTAATGAATGCCGGCCGCTAATTAAGTTTTTAATGATCCACATTTGGCGCGTACAAGCTGGCAAATCAATTAGCGCCCGCAGCCAGTTAACAATATGGCTAACAAATGAGCCCGGCCCAGACCAAATGGTTTTGACAATTGCAGCCGAACTACGCCCAAACGCGGCCCGCAATCTCTGATGTAATCTGGCCAATTGGCGTCGTTGGCCTGAAATATGTTTTATCGCATTTATTATCAGCTGCACCAAATCGTCTATAATTGAAAAACTGTTAACTAGATTAGCTGCCATTAGATCGAGCGTTGGGGGCCAAGCCAGGCCAAGTGGGTCTGGGTTCCAGATCCATATCCAGTTTGTGGCCATTTAGTTGGTCCGCGGTGGGAGATAAGTCCAAGTCCAGTGCGCCGCCACTCGGCAATCGACTTGGCCAAAATGGCCACGCTGACCACGTTCATAAATAAGCTGCGGCTGCCCCAAAGGGACATGCCATCCATTCTCCATTTTCGAATTTTGTTTATTTATTTAAGTGCCTCCAAATCAGCCTTTTGCTGGTTGCTCTTTGAAATCTAATTAAGTTGTTTAAGTGGAATTTGTGGCCATAAAATTATGCAAATCTCAATGGTGCGGGCCACCGCACTTCTACCCCACTCGATAGACACTCTGCGGATGCATATTTGCATTGGTAATTTGCACGCCAAAAAGCCCACAATGCCTTGGGGGCCTCAACTTTGGGCTCGTAAATCATAAGTGGGTGAGTTACGGCTCATATTTTGTTGTGTTTTCTAAGCGCCACTAAATAATTTGGTTTAAGTGCAAAATTTAAGGGTGTGTGAGCGTTTCGAGGCGGAAAAGTTCTCAGGCCCCACGAAAGGCATTAATTTTGGTCATAAAATTCGGCTTTTATTTCACATGTCACATGATTTTGGTTCGACTGGGAGTACATATATATATGCCTCGTTTGGTGCCCACACAGATGCATAAAGATGTCAGCGCTTAACTTATCAAGCCAGACAAACACGAACGGCAAACGCCAACGACGATGATGCGACAACGATGTTAATACAATAAAACCACTGTAATTTCTGCTTTGGGTTTATTTGCGTGTCGCTGCTGGTCACAAAATACAAGTAGCGCCCACCGCTGACCGTTTATCAAACAACAATAAACTGTAATTTATGAAGAATGCCTGTAAAATGACGATAAAACAAGTGCCACGACCACGACGACACCATCGAAAGCCAAAGCAACAAAATGCTGCTGTGCAGATGATGATGATGACATGGACATGGCTGCCAGTCTTGTGCGGAGCCAGCGTTCAAAGCCTGCAACCTGTAACTTGCAGCTTGCAACCTGCAACTTGCAGTGGGTGTGCTCGTGAATGTGTATGGTGGAAGTATGGTGGAGTGGCCAAGAAGGCAACAATTCATTTGACCGGTATGCCCGTCGGGTTTCGGGTGAGGGGTCGCGGATTCGGCGATCCTCAGCTGCATCTTCACATTTGCCCCGGACATTTGACCATTGTCAACACGCTGGTTTGTTGTTTGACTTGCCAGCAGATATTGCGGTCCTGGAAAAAACGAATTTATATATACCCTTATAATCGTTCTACTACCGAAACTTTAACAATTACCTATATTACATAGATTTAACATTTGTAGATACAAGATAGAGAAATATTTTTGAGTGGTATCCATTTATTCTATTAACATCTAACAAAGCTAAAACAATTTTCAAAATTACAAAATTATTTCGAAACTTTTTAATTTAATTATTGTTTAATTTAAAATTGTAATAGATGTCAGGGGTAAGGGGCACTTGATAATAGCGTTTTTGTTGTTATATAATTACTTATAATAACTAATAAATTATAAATAATTATTACAAAAATTGTTGATAAAAGTGTAAAATTCCAACACCAACACAGAATGAATATTATATATATATATATATTTTTTTTTTTGTTTAATAAATAATTGCATTTGTCATGTAGCTTAGGATATCTGCTAGTCGAATATACCCCACTGCAGCATTCTCTTGTGTTTATTTGGGTCACTCTGGTGACAGGTCAAACAAGTCACAATTTTGTGCGTCGCAACTTTTGCTTTTGAGTGTTGGCGCGAGCTCCTTTGCATACGCTGTACTGTATTGTGTTCGAAACCCTCCTGTTTTTACATTCGAAATGAGTGGCAGAAAGGGTTCTGCAAGTCAGCCCTTAAAAATGCTGACACCTACAAATCGGAGCGAAAAGTTGTAGCTGAGCCTTAAAAGCAGGGCACAACCCTTTACTGTGCCACAAGTTTAAAAGTAAGAAATGTGGCAACAAGTGCAGAGGGTCTCTACCTCCAATTGGACCCAAACTCAGGTTTTTCAACAGTTTTGGACACATTTGAGGGTGGAAACACGATTCCAGACCCTGCTATACTATCGCTTGAGTTCCTGTGATTGCTGGTTTGAAGAAGTTTTGGGAACTGATAACTTAACTACATTACTGTGGAACGATCAGACTTACCCACATTACATAAGACACCGACAGAATATGGATATATTAACAGTGGTTTGCCTGAGACTTAATCAATACAGGAAGGTATTGCACGCATTGAGCTTAATACTGGATCAAATACGGAGTATGCCTGTGGTATTGCAGCTTTGTGAGGAGGAAAATTCGATCCAGGAGCAGAATTTGGCGAGTCTTATATTTAGACGAAGTGCAGAGCTAAAGATGCCTAATGTTATTCTGCTTTCGTGCAACTTTTTCAGCTCCAGGATTTTCTACGCCTATGATTTGTTTCCAAAATTGCAAGTTAGGAAATTAATTTATCACACATACCTCACTCTATTTCCCTACAAGCTGGAAAATCTCCAAGGACATCCCATACGCACTTTGCCAGACAATTCGGAGCCACACACCATCGTGGAGAAAGACTCGAATGGTTCTTTTATCATAAATGGTCCTGTGTGGCAGCTTATGCTCCACTTCGCTCGGCATTTGAATAGCAGCCTGGAACTCGCAGGAGAGCCAGTTTTCGGAAAGAGCCTAAGATATGTCCAGGTTCTCGATTTAGTAAGGAATGCAACGGTGGATATAACGGCCAGCTTGCGGCCCTTTAGTCACCGCATCAACAAACATTATCTTAGCTATCCAATAATGGTGGGCAACTGGTGCATGATGCTACCTACGGAGAGGTCTTTGAACGGCAAGGAGATACTGAGCAAATGGATGGAGTCACCTTTTATATGGTTGTTTTTTCTACTTCTCTACATTCTGCACAAATGGATGACCCAGCGAACACGCCTAAGAAGTCCCCTCATTCATCTATTAAAACCTCTAACCCACTTGGTTCTCCTGTGTTTTCTCCAAGCCCAATTTTCAGCCTTTTTCATCGGATCCCAGCAGGTTAATCATATAACGAACATGCAGCAAGTAGAGGAATCTGGTCTGCGAATTAGAGGAATGAGACAGGAGTTCATGGAGTTTCCCATCGATTTGAGGAGTAAATATGCCTCCTGCTTTCTTCTCCACGATTTGTTTTTTGACTTGGCTAAATATAGGAATGGTTTCAATACCTCATACGGTTATACGGTGACCTCGGTGAAGTGGAATCTCTACAAGGAAGCCCAGCAGTATTTCCGACGTCCTTTGTTTCGCTACTCGGAGGACATTTGCGTGCAGAAGTTGTCGCTCTTTTCACTCATCCATCAAAGCAATTGTTTATATCGCCAACAACTGAAGGAGTTTAATTTACGTTTGCACGAGGCGGGACTCATTCGCCTGTGGTACCGCCAATCCTACTACTTCATGGTGAAAATAGGACGTTTCCATTTCGGAGACAACAGCTCATCCCGCCAGGCGCAACCAATTCCTTTGTCGGAATGGCGGATCGTAATGGTGTTATACGGCGCGGCACTTCTAATTTCAGTGGCTGCCTTTGTCATTGAGCTCACTGTTCACTGTGTAAATGTTTGCCTACAAAACTTGTAGGCAACGTGTCGTATTAGTAAATAAAAAACATAATGGATTACCTATAACATAGGAAAAGCGGGTATGATGTTTAAATGAGAATGAAAAAATATTTTTTTTTTGGGAACAGCTTTGATACCAAACGTTTCTACCCGTTTAACAACAGACTTTCTTAGCTTGAATACTGGGCCGAAGTAAAATATAACTAAAATTTATTAATGGGTATGTTATATTGGAGACTACCTAATCAACTTTTGTGGTGGTTATTTTTACTACAAGTGTAAATTAATTAGCATAGCGTCACAGAAACTTTCTAAGCCATAAAACAAATAAACTACCTTATATTATATATGACCATTCCTCAGAAGAAGTTAGTTCTCTAGGATGTTGCAAACCAGCTACAGTCTTCACAACAAGCTCGTGTCGTTATTAAGTCACGCTCCAGAACTTACCACCGTGTTTTTCTACGCTCCTGTGGAAGGAAAATGCCATTTGGAGGAGACACTTTCTTCGGCCACTTGGGGCATTCCTCTAGTGATATGGCGTTCGAACAGGACTGTGATCTTAAATGGATTCCTCGGCGAGGGGCTCTTGGTATTGGCCTGTCTTCCAGGATTCCAGTGGAGAGCTTTTCTTGGCAGCCTATCTAGGAGTTTAAAATACCTAAGACAGGCCAGGGTACTGATTGAATTAATGGTGACCAGGGACGAATTATTAGTACATCAGGTGCTGCAATACAGTCTAAGTCAGGAAATGATTAATGCCAATGCTATTTTCGAAGATTTTGTGGATTCTCAAATAGTGAGCCGATTTGAAGCCTATCCCAAGTTCAAAGTGGTGAATCACTCTTTCACAGAGGATACTCAAGAGTCTGATCTCTACCCGGATAAGATGTTGGATCTTCGTGGGGGAAGAATTCGTACCGTGCCGGACTACTCCGAACCGAACACCATTCTGTACCAGGACGAACAGGGCAACAAACAGATCCTGGGATATGTGTGGGACATAATGGAGGCCTATGCCAAGAAGCAAAATGCCCAACTGGAGGTGGTCAATAAGTATGCGGATAGCAGGACCCTTAACTTTATCGAGTTGTTGGATGTGGCTAAAAGCGGTCTTGTAGATGTGGCTGCCAGCATTCAGCCAATGTCGATGGGGGACCACGATCGCACCCACGAGATGTCCTATCCGGTTAATCTGGCCAGTTGGTGCACCATGTTGCCGGTGGAGAGGCACCTTCATGTGTCCGAGTTGCTTTCGCGGGTTTTGCCCTATCCAACCTGTGCCCTGATGCTTTTCCTTTGGATCTTCTACCAGATGGTGCGTGGTCGGTGGCGACGTCATCAGAGGCTTCAGAGGATTGGCTGGCTGGTGTTGGCCACACTGATTAGCACCAATTACTTGGGCAGACTGCTTCATTTGTTTGCTGACCCTCCATCTTTGCCACCGATCGATAGCCTGGCAGCTTTGATTGAATCTCCACTGCGTATTATCTCGATCCAAAAGGAATACACCAGCATAGAATTTACACAGCGGACCAAGTACTCCGCTGCATTCCGACTGACTTCGAGGACCGAGGACTTGATTGAGATGAGAAATGCGCTGAACACCTCCTTCGGCTACACCGTAACCAGCGAGAAATGGAAGTTGTACGACGAGCTGCAGAAGCGCAGCTCGAGGCCTTTGTTCCGATATTCCAAGGACCTCTGCTTCTACGAAATGGTTCCCTTCGCCTTGGTCATTTCGGAGAACTCAGTCCCATCGAGCTCCACTGCATAGATTCACCCTGCTGCTGTGGCAATCTGGATTGCATAACTTGTGGGTGTCTAGGGGCTTCTCCAATATGGTTAAGGCGGGTAAGATCCATTTTGCCATCTTTGGGGAAGGTTACCAGGCCCACACCCTCACCGTTAAGGATATGAGACAAGTCCTCGTCGTATACGGTTGTGGAGCGCTAATTAGCCTGTTTCTATTTGTCTGCGAGCTGGCTGTCAGTTGGGTAAACTATTGGCTGCGTTTTTAACTGTCCACGCGGTAATTACGGCGATGGCTTTCGATAAAACCACCCGGTTCCGGTAAACCCCCGCCTACCAAACACTCAGTAAATAATAGAGACAAGCCAGGACAACAAAACAAATGAAAACTTTGTGTTTTACTTCGTGACGGTGACAAGGGTTCCCGAGTCCCCGATTTCGTCCAAGGAGACAGTAGTTAACAATGCTGTTGAATGGTTTCCTACCGTCTTACACCTTCGAGCTGCGAGGGCAAATGAAATAAATGCAAATTGCCTCCTACGAAGTCACCGCAGCGACACGACAGGCACCACGAAATGAGACCCCAATCGAGGGGGAGATGAACCACTGAACCACCGAGCCATCAGGCAACCGCAGCAGATCCACCAAATTATGTAAAAGCCTTGGCAGCAAACACCAAACACCAGCAAATTGTGGCCTAGTGTCGGAGTTGTCTGTGCTAGATGTCTGTTTCTTGCATTTGGTGGGGAAACGCAAGATCTGACTTGCTGGCCCGTTTTGATTAACATAAAGCGAATAATAGACATCGACTGCCAGCAACGTGTACAAATTTGATTTCACGATTTTGCACTATTTAGCCAAAGAAGACAAAACCAACACCTGCAACATAGGCAACGGCTTTTGGTAATTTTGACAGCTGAAGATGCATTTTCGCTTAGTTTCCACAGCTGTCAATGAAGTGTTGCAACATGCATATCTCAATTTCAAATGACGTCTAGTTAGGCAAATGAATTCACTCTTTTGGAAAAATGAATTGGCCCAGTTAGTTTGTTTACTTTTAGTATTTTCTGGCCCCGTAGATAATCGATGGCTAGATTTGGTTTCTGGGTTGAGACAATTGGCACGCCGAGAGCAATTTATGACACACAAGAAGCGCCACGATTTGGTTGACAAATTTCCCCAAAACACGATGCCTGGGAAATGAATTATGTGGCCGTGATCGGCGGGAAAATTCAAGTCAAAAGCGGCTGATCGAGCGGGCCAAGACCCTCACGACATGTGAGACAATTTCCAGTCGTGGGCAACAATCGACTCGCGATTCGCGATTTGCTGCAAATTATTAAACGATCTGTACCGGCGAAGGTCAGCGGAGTAGAAAACACGCGTGCGCAGACCGCAAAACTTTCTCCGCAAGACGGATGCGAGGGTGTTGTCAGCTGCCAAGAAGGATCAGGCTTAAGTCAGCATCGACCATAAAACCTCTTGGCTGGCCAAAGAGTCGCCGCCTGAACTTTGAATGGCAGCCAAAACAAGTCGGGAGCTGTTATAGTCAGCACCGAAGTTTCAAGACCCTTATCGCACTTCTCGAAAATAATTTTAAATCCTTGTAAAGATCCAGGGAATACTTGTTTTCGGATAACTTTTATGACTAAATCACTAGAGCACTTTAAGTATGAATAAATAGATATTAATGAATGACTTGTTCTTATCCTTGAAAATTTATGTTCATATGTACCTATTAAAATACTAATAAAATTATTTTACGTAAATGACCATTTACACAAGTCATGTTAGTTGTAATATTGCATGGCATTATTTTTATTGATGCACCTAACAATAAAACTCAAGTGCCCTTTTGGTAGGGTAATCATATAAAGCCAAAAATATTTCGGCTTAAAAATTCTACAGCTGCAGCTGGCCCTCTGGGTTTGGCTTGTCGTATTTTCTCTCTGGCTTTTTGTTTTGTTTCGCTGCATTTTGTTTTGTTTTCGCCTGCGTTGCGGTTGCCTTGCCCACAAGTTGAAAGGTCAGGAATTTATGGATTTTACATGGTTGCAGAGACATTTCCAGATACGAGTAATCGTAACTTTAACAAACTGGGAGTTCGCCTTGAACTCTTACCGTTCCTTAGCGAAGTCGCATTGATAATCGCTGGACAAACTTCATTTCCCGTATTGCAATTGTCCCCGGATAATTAAGTGCGATAAGCATTTGATTTCCAAAGCAAACACTGACGGCCAGAGAGCCGCTTCCAGTCTGGAGTGGTGTACCTCAGTCATTTCCGGATTCAGTGTTGACCATGTTGTCCAACGGTAGTCTTAGTCCTGCTCCTGAGCTGTTCGATCTATATGGTCTCATTCTGCAATTTTTGGTACCTTCGGAGACCACAGTGTTTTACTTTAACCCCACTGGAGCCAATTGCAGTTGGGAAATACTAGAGAGGACTAGTCTATCTCACCAACCTCAGATGTTTTGGAAGAAGGAAGAAAGTTATCCACAATTGTATAATCGACAAGGTAGAAACCTCTTTGTGATAGCTTGTTTATCAACGGACCATTTTGAGCGGCAGATTGGACTCTTGGCCACGAGTTTGACTCGATTAAGGTCGGTTAGAATCCTCATAGAGATGCAGGATAAGGAAAGCGCCTTCTTGGCCTCCCAAATCCTGTTGCTTTGCCAGCAAAACAGTATGCTTAATGTAGTGCTGTTTTTCCAGCGATGGACTCGCCCCTTTGCCATCTTTAGTTACCTGGCTTTTCCATATTTCAAACTCGTCAAGCACCGTTTTTCAGAAATATCTACTGCAAGTATTTATACCAATAAACTGGCGGACCTAAAAGGTTACCAACTGCGCGTACAGCCCGACTTATCACCTCCGAATTCCTTTGATTATCGAGATCGGAAAGGTCAATATCGAATGGGTGGATATATGTGGAATATTATAGAGAATTTCGCTGCCAGTATGGGAGCAAGCGTCCAGATTTTGTATCCGTCGTGGGAAAGAGCCAAGATTTCTGCAGCGGAAGTTATGCTGCAGTTTACAAGGAACGGCAGTTCGGATATTGGCCTGACCACGACCATGATTAGGTTCAAGCACAAGGAAAGGCAACGCGACTATAGCTACCCTCTGTTGTACTCTAGCTGGTGCACCATGCTGCCCATGGAGAAACCTCTGAGTGTTAACATCTTATTCAGGCATGTTTTGAGCCCTAAAACAGCGATATTTCTACTTTTGGCCAGTCTGTTGTGCTTACTGGTATTTCCAAAGCTGCTTCAATTTTTTGGTTTTACGATGCGAAGCCGATTAATGCGCTTTTCATTAAGGATTTTTACCCTGTTGATGCTCTGCGCCAGCTCTGCCCAACTGCTATCCCTGCTGATATCACCTCGGCTTCACAAACGAATCGAAAGTTTTGACGACCTCTTGGCCTCGGATTTGAAAATCTTCGGATTGCGTAACGAGTTTTATTTTATGAATGGAGAATTTCGAGCAAAGTATGCGGCTGCTTTCCACCTGACGGAAGACCCCAATGAACTATATGACAATAGGAACTACTTTAATACAAGTTGGGCCTACACCATTACCAGTATCAAGTGGATAGTGATCGATGCCCAGCAGCGGCACTTTGCTCATCCTGTTTTCCGCTTCTCGGACACCATGTGCCTTGATTTGCCGTCGCCCATCGGATTGCTAATAGCTCCGGAGTCAATCTACCGGGATCACCTCCGAGAGTACATACTGCAGGTGAGCCAGGCTGGATTAATAAGTAGGTGGATGTCCTACAGCTTTTATGAAATGGTCACAGCTGGTCGCATGACCATCAAGGACTACAGTCTTATAAATGTGATACACTCCCTGCGGATAAAGGACCTTCAATTATGTTGGCTGATCTTCTCAGTGGGTCTGGGCACTTCATCCCTCGTATTCACCATTGAATTGCTTCTGTTCTACACCAACGTATTTCTCAATAGTTTGTAGTGCTTGCTTGGCTTTTGTCATTTTCCCCAGCAAATAAAATAAATGCAAATTGCTCACCAGGAAGACACCGCAAAGACACGACCAGAGCCACGAAATAAGACTCCGAGTGCGAACCAAGAAACGAGCCAACCACAACAGATCCACCAAATTATGTAAAGCCTCAACACCAAAGAAGCAGTCTCAGACCAACAATTTGTGGCCTACTGCCACAGAGGTTGTATGCACTTAAAAGAAAATAAATACACTACTTTAATGATTCACCATTCAAAAAATGTTTTTTTAAAACAGTAAAATTATTTATGACCTCCGTTAAAAAAGGCGTCAAGCACTTAAAAATTAACAACATCAAAGAGAGCAAACAACTAGCAGGTGTTTGATCAAGACCCCGGGAAAAAATGGTCAATTTTTTAGTGTCATATTTTGGCAAACAACATTAAAAAAAGAAACAGCAAAAATCTTTAAAACCTTTCACTGCGCGTTAAGTTCTAATTCTTATCTGGCATAGTTTTTTTAAGTGTAGCAGGGGGAACGAGTGTTAGATGTCTGTTTCTTCTATTTTCGTAGGACAACGCAAAATCTGGCTGTCTGAGTTTCTGGCCTGTTTTGATTAACATAAAGCGAATAATAGACATCGACTGCCAACAACGTGAACAAATTTGATTTCACGATTTTGCACTATTTACCCAAAGAAGCCAAACTAACACCTGCAACATTGGCAACAACAAGCGGCTTTTGGTAATTTTGACAGCTGAAGATGCATTTTTGCTTAGTTGCTGTCAATGATATGTTGCAATATTGCACATCTCAATTACAAATGAGGGTAACCACAAATTAAATAGAGGCTTCCAAGCTCTTTTAAAAAACTATTTGGTCGAAGTAGGCATTGAGTAGGCTAGATTTTGTTATTTTTTAATTTTAACTGAACAGTTAATATTGGGGTCCTCGTCTTCGTGATGTGCTTATATTTTCCGGATGTGATGTTGAAATAATTTAATTTAACTTTCGTATTCCTCTCTTAAGTTTAAAGTTGTATTTTTGAATTATATATTCATTATTTATTTTTGCAGAGTAACTTAAGTTTTATTCTTGCATGTCTTTGATTTTCGTTTAAACTCGATTTATTTTGAAATGCTCCAGTAGAAATGAAAATCATTCCGCCTTTACCTTGGGTCCGTCTTATGACTCACTTGGCAGACCTGCTGACCCACCATCGCCGCGGTGGTTTCGACTGTCCAGGTGTTCAATTAAGCACTGACGTTGACCTTAATACTCGGGCCGCTGAATACGGATTGAAAAAGTGCCAGAATTTCTGACAAATTGTCGCCGAATGTGTGCAGAAATCAAGTTTATGGTCAATGGATAGCAGACAAAAAAAAAGATACAGCTTAGTAGTATGGATGTCAACAAATTCTGTTTGTCCGCTTAGAAAGTAGCTGGCATTAAAATGCCAAGAAAATGCCGATGCCGAGGTGCTAAAATATGCATTAAAATTGCTGATGAAGCGGCTTGTTTGCTGGCAGGATTACCAAATATTTGCGGCTGCCAAAAGTCAAAAGAAATCAATCAAAATGCCACAATCAACAACGACCACCACAAGGCGCCAAAAGGCAACAAAAGAAGTCAGGGAGAGAGGCCGACGGAAGCGACAGTCTGACGTGTGCCCAAGACGCTTAGTGGCTGCTGCAGCAAGCCAGGTTTTTTTCCTGCTTTTTTTATTTTGCTTCTTTGCAACTGCAGCATCCAGCGGCAGACGGACGGCCACATGTCTCTAAGTGGACAACAAAACGCCTCCAACACTTTTGGGGCGCGAAAAATGTGTTTGCCAAGCCAAGAAAAGCCAAGTCGCAGTCGGAGTTGCAGTTTTCCTGGCCAAGTGTTTGCGATTCGAGCCAAGAGTGCTTGGCTGAATGCCTAATGCCGCGGCAATTGCAGTTGCACTTGCAGGGGCGGGCACACAGGAACCCCGATGTATTCGCAAGTGTACATAAAAATAAAATAAATAAGCCCGCGCTGATCTTCATTTGTTGTTGTCGCTCAGTTGACATCGCCTTTGGCATGGCATCGTCATCGCCATCGTCGTCATCTCCATCTCCCTGACATATATTTGCATAGTTTTGTCGAGAACAAAATGGCAGCAGCGAAACAAAAAGAAATTCGTTGACAAGTGTCTGTCAGGGACATCGTGCCGGGCAAATTTGCATGTGGTCGCATCTCACGCTTTAGACACAGCCCAAAAGAAATACTAAAACGAAATTTGGTAAAATAGGAGAGATGCCAAGGTCACCGACACATCGAGCACCCTTCTAGGGTTCATTCAGTTTCTAGGGTAACTGTGTTTGTAATTTTGATGCAGTTCGATTGGGATGTTTGTTAAAATCCTTTACAAATGTTACATTTCCGCATTCAGATTAAGGAAATCTTTTTAATATAATGACTAAAGAAAGTTAATTGCCATTCAAAAATACGCCTTTACTTATACAAATAAAGATACAAATACGATAAAGAGTTTATTAACTTCCAAAGTAATTTACAATACCAAAGGTCTTTTACCAGAAAAAAACAATTGGTAAATTGAAAATAGACCGGATATTAACCCAAATATGGAACACGAAAATAGGCACATCATTCAATTGTACAACTTTGAAATACCTTCTTCAAGGGTATAAACAGAAAGCAAAGATCCGACTTGGCTTATATATTTTGTGGTGAAATTGTTGTTGCTATTTCCTTGTCTTTATTTTTACCGTCTTGTGTTTTGTGTGTCGATCTCGAGCGCACCTTTATGGTCTATTATACTAACGGGAATGCCCCGAGAGCAACGACAATAATAAGCAAATTGATTGAAATATGCGATATCATGGTAACCGCAACTCAAACGGAAACGCTCTGGCCGCTCCCTCCCCCACTTCCCCACTTCCCTACTGCAAAGCCATAGCACCCCCCACCCCACCGCTCGCAATTGTGTGGTAGCGCATTAAATGTCGATTTCGTTTTGCACCCGGGGCGCAGATACGCAGCCAGCGATACGGGAAGTACGCAGTGGTGCAGTGGTGCTTTATTGGTGGCTCAGTGGTGCTGGGTCACTGCCAATGCCACGCAGAAGAAGAAGCAGATGAAGAAGGGGTGCGGCCCCAAAATCCCAGCGATGACGCCCACCCGGCCAGTGGGCAATCTTGGAAGGCTTTTCCGCCGAGTGCTGAACGCCGAATTCCCCGATATCGATACCAATGTTAATGTGCCTTAAATAAATCATTAGCGCATTGTTTGGGGCCATAAAGAGCAATGAGGATTATTGCCAATTGGATTGCAAGTGTTGGCCAGGCATTGAACATTTAACGGCCCGAAACGGAACCTTACAGCCTAGAAAGTAGAAGTGAATGCCGCCATTAGCTAGAAATTGGATAGCCGATTCGATCTTCTTTGAGGCAGGTAGACACGCATTCGGCATGTAAGCTAGCAAAGAGCTAACTGCTGCCAAATTGCGGTTGCCGCCTGGCAACACGCTCCTAATTAGCATGCAGCAAGCCAAAAACTAGGTGCAACCTCATCTCAGACGATCTCGTAAAAAAAAACATGTTGCTTTTCTGGCCTAATGTTGCCCCAAAATGTAATACTCGACCGTAATGATAACTCTTGTGGCTTGTGTGCACTCGTCTGGCGATTTTTATTGACTTTTCATTGATTGCCGACATACTCAGAAAAAATCAAGGCAGAATTCTTTTTGAGTTCGCCGTCTGTTTTTGGGCGTAAGCGTAATTAAAACGCTGTAAAAACTGGCAAAATGTGTTAACCAGTTTATGCCGATTTAAGTCTTTTTGCACACCCTTGCCATTTGCTACAATTCACAATTTTTTATTTGTGATGCAATGGGTTTTAATGTCCCCACAGAGTTACAGTTTTATGCCATACATATATCGCTTTTGAGTGCAGTCTAATAGATACTTTCCATTCGGCACATGCAAATGTATGATTTCCTGCCGAAGCCGAACGGCCATAAATAGGCAATTTGGCGCTCTGGCCGTTTAACGCCAACAACATCATCGGAACGGGCTCGCAACGAATCGAATCGAATCGATTTTCGTGCACTTAACACCAACAGCTCTTTAACCCGCAACTAGCTTGGTATACCCTTAAAGGTTTTTTGTGCAACAATTTGGGGGAAAATGTTTTCAATCAGAAACGAGGCGGTAAGTGCCGGGGGATGGGCTTGCCACAGCACAGTACTCACCACCAATCAAGGCCAGCTCCCAGCTAGAGTTTGAGCCACAGCCACAGCATCATTATCAGCCGCCGTGCTGATTATCAACATGTGCACTGGCTGCTCGACAGCGCCGCATGTGCTTTTGCCCTCGATCCATAGATCAAGATCATAAATAGCAATAAGCCAGCCAGACAATGTCTGCTAACTGTTTCAGGCAATCAATCAATCCATCTGCCGCTGCAACTTCAGCCTCGGCGATTCGCGAGTGCTGATGCTGCTGTTGCTGCTGCTGCTGCCCGTTTGGAAAGTTCATTCAGTTGCGCTTCAGTTTTTCCTTCTTGGACTTGGGGGGAAAGGGTATTTTGGTATCTTGGTATCGCAGTATAGCCTGGACATAGGCTTACAGGGTACCAGCCAGTTGATTGCGGCAAGTGCTGCTCTCAAAACGTGATCGATTGATTTGCGCGATCGCTGCAAGAGCCACGGCAATGGAAGCAACGGCAAACGGCAAGTTCAACGAGCCCGATTGACTGACTGACTGACTGACTGCTGACTAGATAATTGTGGCGTTCTGCGGCTGATGCCACTTTTTGCACTAAACAGCTGGGGCAGACCGCATAGCTGCATTCCAGATCCAGCCCGGGATCTGTGGGCCAAGCTGGCTGGCAATCTGTCAGGCTGACAGTTGGCCCAGTCGCACAGCTCTGCCGGCTTTGATGATTGATGATTGTTGAAACGCGAACGAAATTATGATTAAATAAGTAATTGTAGCTAAACAAAAAGCAGCAGCGATGAAGAC